ATATATATATATATTTATTTATTTATTCTACTATTATTTTATAATAATAATAAGAAAATTTAGAATTATTCATATTTTTTAACTTTAACTCAAAAAGTTGGTTTAATTAGCTGTTAAAAAATGTAGTCTAGATATTTTAGTTATTCTTACATAATCATTGTCAAAATTCATTATCTTATTTTTCTTGTATGAAAGAGCGTTGAAGAAATTTGATCATTGTTTCTTTGATTGGAAATAATAGTATAATACACTCATAGAAAGAGATTTTTTTATGCTTTTATTTTTTTGTTGATAGGACATGATGCCTTGCCAACAAGAGATTTATTTTTATGCATAGACACATAATTAATGATGCAATTTGTGTTAGATATAGATTGGTGATCTATCTCATCTCATCCTTTGAGGTGCCTCCAATGTAACGAGGAGATTAGTCACCGCTATCAGCGGTGGATACTCCAGGGACGAACAAAAAGATTGGTGGCCGAAAATTTGTCCCATCTCTTTTAGTAATATAATAATGTGAAGCATATTTGCAACTTTATTAATGTGCGTCTTCCATCCCATGATGAGAATATCCAGAATTGGATGGATTGGATTTGTCACAAAGTGCATGAAGTTAGGGTGTTATTTCCCATGTTATTGTGGGAGATTTGGAAAGCAATCAATGTAAGTATTTTTCAAAATACTTCTAAGTAGCCACATGTAGTTATAACCAAAATTTTTAACTTTGTTGAGAGTGTGCAAAGTGTATTTGAACTCAACACTCGAGGTCTTATGATAGAAAAACATCAACAAATATTGTTACTTATATTTGTTCATACAATGATTAAGTGATTTTGGATGTAAATGAAAGCTGTCACACTAATCTTGAACACCTTAGGATATGAAGTTTGTTTAGAGACTCAAATAGTAATTAGATTCACGAGTTCTATGATGATATTAGTGTTGCAAATATTCTCAAAGCAAAATTAGAAATTCTTTGTCAAAGTTTGCATTTGGTATGTGATTTGAATTTTAGTAATGTAATTGGTGTTTCTCAGCCATGTTGTGAGTTTGATCACACATAATATTAATGCTTGTCACATGTTTCTTACAATTATGAAAGACATCAAAGGTTATTTCATGGAAAATTAGAAATTGGAATTGTTGCACTCCTTACATGAGCAAAATCATTGTGCATATTATTTTGTAAAGCTAGAACCACTCTCAAGAGTCTATTTTACGAGTCTCTAGGTGTCTTCAATGGGTTTACATTGACAGTTGCTTGCAAATGTATTGAATCTACTTGTCTCTAGGTTGTAAAAAAAAATTTCTCTCCTTCTAGTGCAAAAAAAATAGAAAGAGAAAACGATAATTATGTATCTCTGCTTGAATATGCACATTAATAGGAATAGTATAGATTATTGTTATTCAACAATAATTTTAAAAATAAAACTTGTGCTTCAAAACACTTTTGTGACCTTTATTAATAACTACTATGCAATTATTTATTTTCTTTTAAAGGGAAAATTAATATATACATAAAATTTAGTTATCTCTTATAAAAATAAATAATTACCTTTAAACCATCTCCAATAAGTAGTTATTAAAATAGGAATTAATTCTTTTTCTTTTCACCATTGAAGCATTGTGATGCATATGAGACATGTAAGAACCGATTCTAATCGATAAAGAATATTTTTATTATTCTTACTTATTATTCACATGGAAAATCAATCAACCCGTTAAAAAATGCGAGATCAATTATGAAACTCACATAAAATGAATTACGAAATTAAATTAAATTCTATTATAGCAAAAATATTTTTTTTTTTATTTCTTAGTATTGATAGACCCAAAAAAAAATTAAGAACAAAAATAGATTTTACTGCCGGAGAAGTAGGTACAGAAATTTAGATTGGTAGAGAAAGGGCTCCTAAATTAACTTAGTCTACCCAGTACCACGCAATAGAATTAGTAAACAAAGTGCTTATTTCATGTAATTCCTCTTCCTATGGATAACCTTATTTTTTTTGGAATCTATTTTTCCAAATTGAAATATTCATTAAAAAAAAGTACTATAGTAATAAGACATATCTGCCTAACTTATAACGTCCATTTTGGTGAAATGATTCAATATTTTTCTAGGTTGGGGGTGTAATTTACAATTTTTTATTTTAAAGTGCAAAACACATGCAATGGTATTCATATTGTGTCATACATCTACATACGGAAAAATAGCAAAGCTGAGTGGGATGTAATATATATATATATATATATATATATAAGGAGCGATTCATTTATTTTAGGAATAAGTCTATTTAAATTTACATTATTCAATAATTCATGTTTTACATCAAATTTTAACGATCCAACCATTGAATTTAAGGTTCTTAATGCATAGATCAAATTTACAATTTTTTAAAAAAATTAAAAATTATTCAATATTTCGTTTCATTAATTCAGATCAATATATAGAGTGATTTTATGATTATCTGTCAATTTGAATTAATAAAATGAAATATCTAATAATTTTCAAATTTGATGTAGAACATGAATTATATAGACTTACTCTTAGAGTAAACAAATCTTTCATATATATATATATATATATATATATATGAAGAAGGTTTAAATGACATCAATGTAACTTTTACTATGTATTATACAGTTCAATAATTTTATTAAATGTGAATTTTTATAAATTCAACCGCTAGATTGAAAGTTCTTTACTCTTATATTATATATACAAAATTTTATATTAATCCAAAATGATTTGATACTTCATTCTTATACAATAAAATTGACATAATATATACATTTTAAAATATAATAAAATATAAATATTTTGATTATCTTCAAGTTGTTCAATTTTAACAAAATTTAATATAAACATATAAAATAATATGAAATTATAATTCAACGGTTAGATTTACAAAATTTACATTTAATATAAAATTATTGGACGGTGTAATACTTAATAAAAAGTACACCGATATCATTTGAACCCTCTTATATATATTCCTTTTTTTTGTAGACTTTTGGAGAAGGGGGGATGAGGAGGAAGGTATGGGATACTTCCGCCTATCACATGTTACAAAAGACATAATGTTCGCATGGCAAAGGAATTCTCAAAATCGAATGCTAAATGAACAAAACATTCAGAAGGATTAACACACATCTAACCTACAGTAGAATTGATTTCTAATTAAAATCCCTATATTACATTACAATAACAAAGACCACATTCATTAAAAGGTCTATAGTGATTCCAAAAGACCCGTATACAAATGAACGAATCCCAGAAAAAAATATATATATAAAAAATGCATTACCTCCGACATCCTGTCATACCATGCCACTTGTAACACAACCCTTCACAATACTTGGTTGTTGCTATTTCATACGTCCAAGTCAGAAATCTTCTAACAGGCTGCTATTGGTTTTCATATGTATTTTCATGTGGAATTCGAAATTATATCCATAAAGCCCCCTGTGATAATATAAGGGAATCTTTGTTGCTTGGAAGTTTGACCTTCCTATCATATGAACATCTTTATATCACTCCCAAAATGCAAATATACACGAGAGTTATTCGTCACTTCCACTGCTAAGTCTACCTGAAATCAGAAGATCAAAATAGGTTATATTATGGAAACATATCTCACATAGGAAGAAGGAAAGAAACGAAGGCTTATCAAAACACCTGATGATCTTTTCCCTTCCATGGCTTCTTTCTTCTCTTGGCAACTTGAGCACAGGAAAGGTCCGTCCCAGGGACGAAATTTTTGAGAGTTGGCCGCACCCTCGTGTATTGAAATACCCTCTCCAGGTTTTATCTCTACTTGACATACTGCACATATAAACAACTTAAACATGTTGCAGACTGGATACTTAGTATCTAACCTGCATTTCAAACAAACGTGATTTGTCAGGAGAGAAAACTAAAGAGCAAGTGGTTAACTTTGACAACAGCTGTTACAAAACTAAACCTCTCTGAAAGCATGGCAGATCCTTCCTCGTACATTTCCTCTATTACATCTGGCTCCAAGTACTCTTTGTCAATATAAGAAGATGATTCAGAAGACCTTTTCCGAAACATGGACTTGAGCATTCCCTTTACTGGCTTCTTTGGATGTGGCACAGAAACAGGTGGCTTCTCCTGTTGTAATATATCAACAACGATACAGGTTGTATCATCTCTAAGTCCTTTTGCTTGTATAGCTTCCTAACGATAGAAAAAGACGGAAACAAAGGGGACACAAACATTATTAATGCCACCAAATGATAGTTATCAGGAGAAACTAATGCAAATTCACAAACAAGGTATCTTATGATGTTTTAAGTCAGGATTACTATTACACTCAACATGAAAACAGGGCCAGTAAACAAAATTCACAAAATGATTCAAAAGATGCACATTAATCTCACTTTAACAATTTGTGGTGCAGCAGCTTCGGCTGACATTCCACGACAACAATCAAGGGCTACTTCTGCAGGTAGAGCATCCCAAACACCATCACTGCAGATAACAAGCCGGCCTCCAGCAGTGGACAACTATATTAAAGAGAAATAAATGGGAGGAAAAAAGGAAGAAATTAAATTCTTCATTTCAAAATGAAAAAAAGAAAGAAACATATGGATTACTTAGAAAACAAAAGATAAATTCACAACATAAGAATCCAATCATTTGATCCACACAATATACTGAACCATCATGTAGTTGGCAGAAATACTTGCTTAGAAGAGAAAGAGATGAAACAAATGAAATTCCGTGGGGGATCAAACAGAAGAAGAAAAAAGAATTAAGGAACTAAGTAAACTAAGTAACCTTGTGAGCAAAAAAGTGTGCAAGTGAAAAGTAACTAATCAACATAAGCCCAACACTGCTTCGAGTGTAAAGTAAAGACCAACCTTCACTTGCTTTACATATGGTACAGGGACAACAAATTCACCAATATCCATATCTCCAATAGATCGTGAAAGACACAAGCCACCAGGCCAACATCTCAAAGGACCAACCTACAATAAAAAATTAATCTAGTCAGGCATATTAGTGTCATAAACACTTCTTATGAAAAGAATATTAGTAAACAGCAGATATGGTCAGTATATTACAAAACCTAAACAGCAGTGTCCCCAAAAGATTGTAAATAATGAAATGCAAAGAGTATTATGCTTTTAGGTCGATATAATCTTATCACCCAATGTAATCAACAAGTGTACCCTTGCCTCTTAGTTTTCCAGGGTGTGATTCACCTGGTTTACATCTTAATATCTGATTATGTAGTGCAATAGGGCAAGCATCTTGTACCAAAAATATAAGTAACATAAGGAATCAGATACAAGAACAAATAGTTCTCTTGTCTTTCTTATTTTGTGGTGATGGATAGTGGGTGTTGAAGCTTGTTATGGAGCAAATACCATTTCGGTTAAAGGGATCATGATTAAAAGAAAATGTACCTCTGCACCTCCCCCTGTATTTAGCCGGCCAACTTCACCACCGCTAGAGGTGATCCGCACCCTCCTGATGAAAGTAAAAATAAAAATAAAAAAAAGGTGAGTTTCTGTTATAACAGAGCAACTCCAAACAGTTAAAAAAAATCAATTAACAACTTACTCCTCTTCATTTGTTTCTAGCCTGTGATCTGCAGACAAGTAATAAATCTCACCATCAGAAGATTCAAGTACACAACGAGAATCACCAACTGATGCAACTGTTACAACCCATCCATCTATTATCACAAAGGTGACAGTAGTTCCAGATTTTTGGGCTGAAACAACAAAGTATAACAAAAACATATTAACTCAAAAGTATAAAAAATATCAACCACAACGAAGAAATATAAAAACTATTAATAACTTCCATTAGTAATTTATATTCTTCATCAACAATCTAATACACATACGACAACAACTAGCATGGAGTTTTAAATATAGGTTGCAGTGCAACTGTAGTCACAGTCTTGTTGCAGTTTGATGCAAATCAATGTAGCCAACAATAGCAGTGCAATGCGACAGTGGCAGCCGTTGCAATCAAGAGGTAGCCAGCTGCATTATGCGATGCAATTTGTAATATAAATCCTAAGCCAAATAATAGTCTTTAGTTCACCTTTGACATTGCATAAATCATGTTCATAGACGAAAAAAAAAAAAATAAGAGTCACCATGCATTATACATTAGACAATCTTAATTGTCAAGCTTAAGTAAAATTAGTACTAATAATTTTTACTGGCATAGCCAATAACCCCCCACCCCCCAAATGAATCCGGTATGCTCATTACTAGAATCTCAGGCTGAAACCAAGAAAAATTCATTAAAATTCCAAATAGGGCAAACCACGTATTGACATAAATATTTTTTAGAAAGGAACCTACAAACTTAACTAGCTTTAATCAAGGAAGTATGAAACTGCACAAATTGCTTATCAAACCTATCACAATTCACAAGGGATATTTTAAGAAAGAATTAACTTCTGTTAGTAATTTGATTATCTTAACAAATTTGGATACTCAAGCTAAAGCAATGTCAAACTGTTAAAGGTAGTTGGAGTTGATGCCTGGAAGAAGATTCATGTCCAGAGATTACAACAGGCAAAACACACACAACTAAGTTAACCAATGCCTATATACACTCTCAAAGAGCCTTGCACACGTGGTGATTATAAAAATGGCCTTCCCACTATGTATTTTCTCATCAATGAACATTTACAATCAAGATCTTTAAAAATCAGAATAACTATGACACGAGGCAAGATTATGATAACTTTGTTTTTCAGAAAAAGCCAATAGGAAACCTTCTAATAAAGGTTAGAAATCTTAAAATTATACCAAGACTTGAGAAGTCTTTGAGTGATAGATGACAACAAAAATTAGAAAAATGTCCAAATAGTTTTGGTGATATTAACATGAAGATTTAAGTGATGTACATGAATTCTCTCTTAAACAAATAATTAACAGAGAACATATCAAACTCTGCAAGGAATGAACTATCAGTACCTTTCTCTTGAAAATCTTTATCAGTTTTTACAAAGCCAGCAACCAAAGCCCTGGGCAATGCTGCTATCCACTCATCTCTGTTCAGATCTGAAGGAATTGCACTTAGAACATTATTTAGAAGATTCTCCTTGGCATAAATAGCAGCAGCAGATCCATTGTGTCCATCAAATAGCTGTAAAACTTCTGAATCAGAAAATGCAACCAGGAAAAAAAAACAAGAAATGAAAAATAGTGCATTGAGCAATAAGCATTCAGTGCATAAATGGCTATAATCCTTCCTGTGCTCCAATTAAAATGAGTGCATAAGAACAAAACCATAATAAAACCAAAATTGTGGCAAAAACACCTTGACAATATATTAGTTTGTTCACATCAACAGAGCAATAAAGTCAGTAATATGTAACTTGATAAAGTTTTTCCAGTCTAACTAAGCCATGAAGTCAAGAACATCAAATATAAAACCAACACATTGGATTCTAAGTAAATATGTGAAAAGTAGACACTCCACAAGCTTTAGCATTTGCTAATTTTGCAATAAGATAGTTAAGTGCCAAGGAAAATGCTTAATCCTTTATATTCTCTCATTTACTATGTCTCGACCTATAGAATGATAACATGTAAAATACATCTAGATTAAAATCGGTTGACAAGTTGCAACCCATCAAATCCTATAAAAAAACGATGTTATTCAATCTGGAAAAGCAGGCCGTGAGAAACTTACCCCAAATACAGAATATGTAGAGACTCCATCACCGACCACCCTCTGACATTCCGTCTTGAGCAGTGTCAAATCCTCCCCTTTCTTGCTCTGGCACGCTTGACCATGAGCAATCTCAGGTTTCTCAATTTTCTCATTCGCCAATTCACGCTTCAGGAGCACCGAAAGGGGAACATTTTGGTGGTGTTCCCTCCTGGCAGCCATTTTCCAAGCCCCCACTCAATCCTCAAATTCCAAATCCCACTACCACTACCACCAAAACACCAACAACACCGAGTTCTGCGCGGCTTTAAACCTCCATTACGTGCAATTAAATCCAATCCTAAAGAAGGAAGCAAAACAAACACGCATTAATTAATGAAAAAGGAAAAAAAAAAAAAAGGCATTAATTAATAAGCAAATAAGCAAATAAATCAAAATCTTAACACTGCTTTGAGTGCTTTCCATATTCTCTGCAAGTAATCCAGCATTTTCATGCAAATTAGCAACAAAATCTACAAGGCGACAGCAAAGATCGAAATGCACCCAAAACGACGAAATTACATCGACAAAAGCACTTGCCACGAATGGAAATAAACAAAACAAAATAAAGCAAAAAAAAAAAAAAAAAAAACTGCGAACGTCGTTGATCGATCAGATAAAGACAAACGCAATAAAGGATTGAAGCGCGAGAAAGACGGCAATGAGAGAGAAAGAAATTGGCGAAAGTGCGATATGGTTGAGATTAGAAAAGGTGAATAATGCAGAGAAGAGAGGAAAATTTTACAGTGCGGAGAAGAAAAATGGCGAATCAGGTTCACGCGCGAAAATGCGGAGACACGCTGAATTGGATTGCGGTGTGTGATCGAGAAACGCGGATCCCAGCGTCCTGCAAATATTCCATTGTTGTTTTCGTTGATAGAGAGGAAAAAAGAAAGAGAACCGAGAATAAAAGCGCAAATGGAACCATTTCATTTTCTTTCCCCCAAAAAAAAAATTAAAAAATTCACGCAAAGCATGATTGATGACGTGGCAAAAACGCATCGTTTTCACTCCGCTCGGCTCACACAGCCATTTATGAGCCAGCGAAGCAGCCAGCTAAATGCATTCTCCTGCACCCTATGCCTGGTCAACGTCCCTCCTTGACTTCAATCCTTACTAAATATTTTTACGAGAATTAGTTTAATTTAATATAATATTTTCGACATACGATGTTATTTGACTAACTCATTAATCACATTTTGAGTAAATTATGTATGGATTAAAATGTATTTTTTAAAATTATAATAAATAAAAAATTTAAACTTGATAAATTAAAAATAAATTTACTTAGCGTGGATGAAATGTTATGTTAATGGGATAAAATAAAATGCTGACCAATTCTAATGAAAAGAAATATGTTGATTGATGGTTGTGAGTGTTGTGACTTTAACATGCAATAGTAATACTAATTCTTGGTCCTACACTAACACTACACTTTGGGTGATGGAAAAATTGGTTGAAAACGTGGTTTTGATTGGTTTCTTTTTGTTGCTTTATCCTAATTGGCGCCAGTTAAGACCCAGTTAGAGCCACCGGTCAACTATGTGTTACAATCCCATTTGGCACAGGGTGTCATGCAAGACACAATCTTGTTGAAAAAAACTATGAATTAATAATATATCCAAGTTTCTTCGGACACATTCAAATAAGTTTCTCGAGAATTGGTCTCAACCCAATTGCTACGTTGACAGAAGTGATGCTGTGTTAGTGTTATCTCTTACAGGTCATAATATTTGCTACAAGTAAAAATTTACTAAGAATCACTTTTTTAGCTAAATAGATGAAGAGTATACAAGAGAAAAAGATTTACTTCCATGTGCTCTTTTCACACAATAGTACTTTCGTATGTTAATGTTTCATCAAAATAATTAAAAAGTAAAAAAAATGATGTGTATGATAGTTTTTTTATTTTTAACTAAATGTGTAATATAATTGATAGATAATTTTTTTTATTATTATTATAATATTAGTACAAATAATTTATTTTTAGAAATTGTGACTATTTTACTTAGATTTGAATTTTGATTAAAACGGTGTTAGTAAAATATTTTCTAATATACTATCTTTATTACACTCAAATAAGGTATCTTTTATAATATATTTTAAAATAAATAATTTTATTGTAAATATAATATCTTGTTATAAAAAATATATTAATAACTAAATAATTTATTATTATTAATGTACAATAACTTAACAAAATTTGATATACACATATAAAGTTATATGAACTTTCAATCTAACGGTTGAATTTACAAAATTCACATTTAATATAAAGTTATTGAATGGTGTAATACTTAGTAAAAGTTATATCGATATAATTATAACCCCCTATATACATATACATATATATATATATATATATATATATATTAAATTTATAGCATAATTAAATTAGAAAATTAGAAAATTGACATTATTTGATTTTAATAATTTAAATCAATTGTGATTTGAATATTCTAAGTAATATAATCATATAATGTTTTCATTCAAATTTATTTATTTTTATTTAAATTTCTTAACCACAAACTTCTTTCAATTTATCATTTTTCATATTTATTTTTAAATTAAACTTTAGTATAATTTTAAAAATTATCAAACAACAATATTTCTTGTAGACCTGAAATATATTCATATATTTAAAAATTATTTCACATAAATCTTAATTCTAATTTATTTATTCAAAAACATTTATTTAGTATAAATTTTATATGAACGTAAATATTTACCATGTGCATCACCCAAACTTTAAATACTAATTTTCTATGAATTCTACCAAATAAAAGATAAACTCACATAGTTTTAGTCGCATAAACTCTACTATATAATAAAAGTATTAAAATTAAAATATCAAGAAAATATGAGCCTTCCTCTGGTAGTAAGATTAAGCGGTTGCTTAGCTTTATTACCAATGAACATTAACATATATAAATTAAATTGCTGACCAGAAACTTCACTAAGCTTCACAAAATGTTAACCAGTTATATAATATAAAGTTGGCGATGATGTTCATAATAAACCACTAATTCATGATGCCAGAAGCAACTGGCAAAAGCTGATGGCACCAAACCAATAGACACCTTGACAGCAAAATTTTATTTACGACATAGAATCACAATTCACTAACTTGATTATAAAATGTTATCCAATCTATTAATACTATTGTAGAGATAAAAACTTGATATGTGAAATTCATAACTACTATCACATGTTAAGATTTATTATGAACAAGTGAACTGAAAGTTACTGCTGAATAAAAACAAGGAACGCTTAAAGGCTTGGTAATCATGATTTTAGACTTTATCATCAACACCTGGTTGAAGTAGTCCTGCAAAATCAAAGCTTCTTCGTATCAAAATAACGCGAGTAGATTGAACAGCTATAAGCACAAGAAAGGAAAAAACTATCAAGATCTCAATTTGGATGAACGTTAACATAAGTTCCTGAGATCAATCAAATTTCTCATTCCAATCTCGTATTTTTTGATAATCTGAACTCTGAAGAGAAAGAATACTAGGCAGAGGAAAATTTTCCCTTGGTTTCTTTATTTTGAAAACAAATCGAGTGAGCAGATTCAAACCTCAACAATGGCTTTCGTTGCTGCTCTAGTTTGTCCATACCATCTGGCATGATCGTATCTGAAGCTGACCTGTCTAAACCAATAGACAACGTTTCTGCAATGTCTTTAAGACCCTGCCCCGGCAAGTGAAAACAGAATAATTGAGCATATTATAAAAAATAAATTCAAATTGCAGTACATACTGGATACCATATCTTATGGATATAAATACAATATTAAAAGCATGTTGACATATTCTGGCCAAACTCGTTGTTCAGTAGGAAAATAACAGTAGAAAACAAAGCACAAGGTAGAAGAACACCTTCAGATTTGGAGTTCCTTTATATGTGAGCAAATTAGGGGACTTCCCTGGAAGTTTCTGTTGCTCCAGCTGAATATTTACTAATTAACATCAGATCATTATCTCAACAGGAAAGTACGAAAATATAAAAAGATATAATAACCAAAGCCACCAAAAGAATTAGAAGAGCTGAATAAAGTGGCGTCTACTGTGACTTTAAAGTCAGCTCTAAATATAAGCTGTTCAAGCTAATCTAGGTCTCTGACTGTCACTTTAACACTCAACAGATAAGAGGGTGATAATCCAGCCTCTAGAACATATATATAGTTTTGCATATTTAGCGGTCACAAGTAATTTAAGAGTGACTAACAGCAAAAGAACATATAATTACAACTGACATATAAGAAAAAACTCCAACCTGCAAAATTTCAGGCATTTTCCGGGCTTTTCCATGTACAAAGTCGATGAGATATGCCAATCCATGATTTGCATAATCCTGCAACCACACTACTAAATCAGTATTTTCTTTAGGCACATCAACAGGAAACACATGCATACCAAATCATTCTAGCAATTCAATATTTTACTCTCATTTAGAGATGTTCCAAATAAAAGAAACAAAATGGTTTATGACAATTACATATTCCTATTTTAAATTTGATAAGACCAGGAAAAAGCTTTACCTGTTTATAACTCAATGTAGCCAGCCTTTCATCCTGAGAAAAGGCATAATTATACAACATAAGAATGAATCAAATAAAAGAGATGCACACACATATAGGAGCAAATAAAACTAACCAATGTTGTGGAAAAATAAACATCATGTTTACTTTGTTACAAATCTATAGATATTTTCATTCAAATGAAAATTAAATAATCAAGACAAATTTTGATAACAATTAACTAGCCACTGCATTAAAACAATCATATTACATACCAATGTTTCCACTGTTTGTTGCAAGAGACCCAAGTCATCATGGAAATTAGTGATAGTACTTCGAACTCCAGAAACCTGTGAATGGTGTATAACAATTAAACACATTTTATTTCTTCCCATAATTGTAAAAAAGAATAAAGGTGACCCATTGTAAAGATACAGCAGCTGATCTTATAAAATTTTAAATTAAAAACAATTATGTTGGATATTCTACTGCCATGAACAGAAACCAAACCATAAAGCTCCCACAGAAAGAGGTATAAGGAGAATGTATGGAGCTTATCTAACATTATAATTGATAGTCCATTATAATAAAGACTCGAGAGTCGTAAAGTATTTAGTATAATGACCAAGTATATATAACAACATGATAGGCATGTAAGCCACTTCATCACTGATCAGGATGAGATCAAGACAGCCCAATGGAGAATTTTGATGCCTTACTACCACATGATATTCACTAACATAGATATCCATCAATAGATTTGAGTTCTAAAATCAATTAGTTCTAAATGAATGTTGGTTATATTGTCTGAAAGAGAATTAGTAAGTATGCACCAGTATATATGCTAAATAGAAAAATAGTGCAAGTACAGGTGCAGATATTGAATTTGTATGTGTCAAAAAACATACCTCATCCTTAATTGACCGTGCCAGCTCATTCTGCTTGAGCATTTTGTCATCTAAATTCTGAATTCTCTGGGTCAAATGCTTCTTGGCATCCTACCATCAAAAGAATTGAGAGGAAATTGAGTAAAAAAACTTGGTTATTATGACATATAGACATTAGTTTTCATGTTACATGTTCCAAGCATGACAATAAATATTTTGGACAAAATGTGAGTCGTTATAGCAAATGTGAGAAAAATATTTTCTCCCCCTTATCAAAGACAACAGATGCCTTGTACGCTGTTAAAATGTGCTGGT